GCTGTCTCTATCAGGAAGAGGCAGCAAGGGGGAGGTAGAGGAGGAGGTGCTGGAAAGAGGGAGGGAGTCCCCAGCTGGCCCAGGCAAAATGTGGCGTTTCAAAGTGGCAGCTCTATGTGGAGCCCAGGGTCTGGCACTTTGAAACGTTGCATGCAGCCAGTGACCAGCTGGGAGTCCCCAGCTGACCTTGGGCTTCATGCGGAGATGCTGCTTTGAAATGCGACGTGCTCCCTGCAGCCAGCAAGGGACTGCCTGAGTCCCAAAATGTGGCGTTTCAAAGTGGCAGCTCTATGTGGAGCCCAGGGTCTGGCACTTTGAAACGTTGCATGCAGCCAGTGACCAGCTGGGAGTCCCCAGCTGACCTTGGGCTTCATGCGGAGATGCTGCTTTGAAATGCGACGTGCTCCCTGCAGCCAGCAAGGGACTGCCTGAGTCCCTGCTGGCCCCTTGCTCCCCGCAGCACTTCCACTTTTGAAGTGTAGCAGCAGCCCTGGGGCTGTTTGCTGCACTTCAAAGGTGGAGGCGCCCTTATCGACTAATTGAATAGTTGATGCAGTTTGCGTCGACTATTCGATTAGCTAATTAATCAACATTTTACATCCCAACTGTAGACTGCATGTATTCTCCACCAGCCAGTACATTTTTTATCGGGCTGCATGTAGTGAACAAAATTAACTGAAAAGCCTAGGCTTATTTTTAGTGTGGTTTGTGTTTTTCTTTACTTTTGTGTAATTATAGCTTCTTTCCTTTCTTGGCTTCACCATTTCCTCTGTCATAGGATCTGGTGCGTGTCTTCCTACAGTATTTTCAGTCTGTTTTCCTCTCTTCTTTCCTTTCTCCATCTTTTTATGAATCTTTCTTTTCAGTGTGTTTTTAGTCTCTTCCATATTTTTTTCTTGCCATCTATTAATTCCCAGCTCTCCAAATACTATGATTTTTATTTTCTGTTTACTCCCATCAATCACTTCTTTTCCTGCCTGCCTTAAAATAGATAGGGGCCCATTGCAGAGGAGCTGTTTCCAATTGAGAGGCCCAGCCACCTACCCCTCCCCTATCTCCTGGGAAAGGGAAAGATGCTGCAGTTCCCACTGGGATAATGTCTCTTGACACTCTTCTGAGGCTCCATAAGCGTCTGGTAAACAGGCTTCCAGTATGTTTAGAAGTTTTTTTCCCTCCATTCCAAAAGGCCCTCTGGCAGCTGGAAGGGAACTGCAGTATTTGCTCTCTTCCCTCCTGAACTAATTGACTAATTGATTTTCTGTTATTTCAGTCTTCTCTCTGATTCCTGCCCCCTACTTACTCTGTTTTTTGATGCTGGAATGGGGTGATAGCTCCACCATTCTACTCCTGTTTTTCTCAGCAGCTAGCAAACCTCCATGTGCTTGACGTTCCTTCCAGCCTCAATCTTTTGGTCTGTCCCAGAGAATCTCTCCATTTGCCATCATTGCTGCTTAGACTTTCCTAAGCAATGCCTGGCTGAAATTGACTTGATTTTTGAGTTTCACTACTAAATAGTTGGTAAAAATTGATCAAAACTCTGTTTTTACTGTACTAGAGTTCAAGAAAGCAGTGAAGGCATGGGAGCTACCAGCAGGCAGTACTTCATTGATTTTTTTTTTTGCATGAGAGAAGCTGTCTTCCTAGCCTAAGGGCTAGAAATTTAATTTTAATGAATGCTTTAATACTTGCAAAAACTCATGGCACCCTGAATTACAATGGTCAGATAAAATATATTTTAAATGTTGATAGAAATTGGCAAAAGGCCCCATTCACCGCTTGCTTATACAAGTATAAATTGTGAATAACTCCAGTGGGATTACCTGGGTATAGCTTCTGCACAAATGAAGAAAATTGGGACCAAAGTGTTGAACATTTTTATTTAAATTATGATATTTAAGTAATCTTTCAGTTTTGAGGTCACTTCATTCCTCTTTTTAATGGTACCTCTCTGTGCTTTTTAATTCTTGTATTATATTAACTGCATGTGGAAACTTGCCTATGGGTGGGTGGGACACTGCTATGAAATATTTATAATATCTGGTTATGCTGGACTAGAGAATTCATTTTTACATGTTTGCCTTTTCACTTATCTGATGTATTCAAAGGGTTCCTAGATGAAGTGATGAAGAAATATGGCAGTTTAGTTCCACTCTGTGAAAAAGATGTTCTGGCAAGATTAAAGGAAGTCTTTAATGAAGACTTTTCCCACAGGTTTGTAGCTGAAATATATCCTAGTGTTTGTAAAGAAAAAAGTTATTTGAATCACTAATTTGCATTCCAAATTGAAACTGACACTTCCTGGAACATTAGTCCATTTGTTGTGAACTGGAATATCTTTATCCGTATCTCTACATTTTCAATTTTATTTCAGAAAGCCTTTTATCAACAAGGAAATAACTAAGTATCGGATGCGACATCCAAAATCTTCCACTTGCAATTTTCGGGTCTTCTATAATAAGCACATGCTAGATATGGATGATCTGGCTACTCTGGATGGTCAGAACTGGCTTAATGACCAGGTTAGAGGTGCTTGATTCTTACGTTTACTTCTTCAGAATGTTGAAAAATATTGACTAAAGCCTCATAACCTGTGTGAAGCTGGTGGCTATTATTCTCACTTCATAAACGGGGATCTAAGGCAGAGAGGTCAAGTGGCTTTTCATTGGCAGACACAATAAAATAGCACTTGAGTTCTTGGCTCCATACTTTACTTCCTCTCTAAGGAGATAGTGTTTGAAGATGCAAAAAGGTAGTATTCTCTTGCACTTAGCTTGAAGAGGAGAAAGTAACAGCAAGGCACGGCCTATATCTGAAAAATTGGGGAGAGTAGCAGTGCTCCAGATGTGCCTCAGTAGACTTAAATTGAATTCAAACATTTCACGTTGAGGCAGTCTTTAAGCATCTGCTTATATTATGTCTGTCCTGGCAGCCCATTATTGACTGAGAGCTCTTGACCTGCATCAGAGCATAATAGAACATTACAGGCAGTCCCCGGGTTACGTACAAGATAGGGACTGTAGGTTTGTTCTTAAGTTGAATTTGTATGTAAGTCGGAACTGGTGTCCAGATTCAGCCGCTGTTGAAACTGACCAGCGGCTGACTACAGGAAGCCCAAGGCAAAGCTGCTCTGCCCTGGGCTTCCTGGAATCAGCCGCTGATCAGTTTCAACAGCGGCTGAGTCTGGACACCTGGGACAGAGCAGCCGGGGCACTGCCGGGTAGGTCCCGCAGCGCCGCTCCTCAACGCTACTGGACCAACCTGGCAGTGCCCCAGCTGCTCTACCCCAGGCGTTGGCGAGAAAAGCCTGGTCTGCTGGGGGGGGGGGGGGGGCCGAGCGCGCACTAGGTGCGCCCTCTGATGCCTGGGAGAGAGAAGCTGGGGTGCTGCCGGGTAGTTCCAAAGCCGCGGGCGGAGCAAAGCCGCGGCAATAAAAGCCGCTCCGCGTCTCCCTGTGCAGCGGCTTTTCTCGACACTGAGGACGCAGGCGGCGGGACTGCAGCGCGTCTGGGTGGTCCGCCGCCCGAGTCTTCAGCGGCGAGAAAAGCCCCGTTCGTATCTAGGGATCTGACGTAAGTCGGATCCACGTAAGTCGGGGACTGCCTGTACTCTAATTAGTCAACTTCTTGTTAAAAAGGGGCTGTGTGCTTTTTATATGCTGTCTCAAACCTTGGGTTTATTTTCGCTAATACATTGCTTTGGGGAAAATATTTTGTACAAATTACATTTTTTACTAACTCTTGCAGATTATTAACATGTATGGTGAACTCATAATGGATGCTGTCCCTGACAAGGTGAGTGGTTTTTTGTTTTGTGAAAAAATATCCGGTAGTAGGGGCTAGGAAGGGAAAGATGGCGTTAGACCTTAGATACATGTGACAAATGGAAAGGATATCTAATGCAGATTAAAATGCCATTATGGTGATTCTAAGTGACAGTATAGAAGTAGCCCCTCTGGGCTCACTAGATTTGCTGCCCTCAGTCCGTCTCTTGTTCACTTTACTGATGCAAATTTTTACTCCACATGGGCTTACGGAGCCAAGCACAATTAAGGAAGTAAGCTGGATTCTCTTCTGGCTTGTACATCATCCAGCAGGGCACACATCCACAGCAGGCTCCTCAGGTGGAAGGGGTGAGACTGTGGGGCTGGCTCCTCAGCATCCCTGCCCCTCCCCCCAGAGCCCCACACAGCACCCAGCACAATACTCTGGCAGCGACTCAAAGGGGTCCGGGGCTCTGGTTTCTAGCTGTTGATGCTCAGGGCAGAAGAAACCCGTCTTGACTTTCAGATTCTGGATTGAGTTTGTTTGTAGCACTGACACTTAGAAGAATCATGTTTACTTGTAAGCCGAACAAATTGAATATGGAATCACTGAGACCACAAAGAAACCACACCATACCATTTTTAGATTGGCAGGCTACATGGAGTATAGCAACCCTTTAATGTTCTCGCTCAGAATGTAGAGCACTGCTGCTTTGATTGGTGGTGGAAGTGATTCCTCATTAGTATTCTCTCTGCTTTTTCAGTGCTTGAACCAGAACGGTGGCAGTAGAGATTGTATCTCAGGCTGCCTGTGCCCACTTTTTACAGTGCATAATTTAAATCCTCATGGGAGATCTAGTTCTAGTACTTTGTAGAATGCAGTTAGAAGTGTCTGTTGGCATAACTAATGAGATTTATCCAGGATTTTCAAATGATGAACCATCCAGCTTTTTTCAAGTAACAACGTAATAACTTCTACCACTCAATACTAGTAAGATTATTAAATACAAGTGTAAAACTGCATATGATGTGACCTACAGCTTTTCGTTTTGTATTAATCTCTTCCTTTAATTGTAGAGGCTAACACAAGTGTTAGCTTAGTACTGAAGAATTGTTTTACTTGTAAAAAATCTACAATCTTATGTCACAATGGAAGTTACTTGCAAAATATATGTGGCACAGTAGACAAAGTATTCTGTAATTCTGAAGCATTTTTGTGAAGGCTGAATCTGGCCAGAGGATTGAATACTGATGTCTGTGCTTTCTTGTCTTAAACTTTATAACTTTTGACAATCATTTTATTTGGTTTTGCATTAGGTATGTGATAGTGTATCCATTTTACACAGTTAATCGATAAGCCTGGGTGCATTGGTTTACGTGCATGAGGCAGGCAGGAGCTGGCTTAAAAACTGGCTCCCTGCATGCATTGGCTCCCATGGAGCTGCCTGTCCCACCCTGTCCTCCCACCGAATCACAGAGTAGAAAATAGAAGGAATTTCTATCAAGTTCTGTAGGGAGGGTGGGAAAATGACTTCCCTACCCTTTAGTGATTTTAATCCCTGGAATGTAGAATGATGTCAAACTTCTCTTTGACCTTTCCTCTCTAAACAAAATATTGTATCTACATGTCATAGGCTTAGGGATGCCAAGTTCAAAAAATAAACTGTTTCACATCTCATGCTTGGGGAAAATAGAGAGTTTATCTTTCTTCTAAAGAACAGTCATATGTAAGGTTTGCTAAAACATACATAGACTTGTTTGTCCCTTTTGCTGTTTTGTTTTTTCGGTTCTTATTTAATAGCCAACTAGATATTTAATTTTGTTGAAGTTACGTTAAGCATTACTGGAAGAATTTATGCACACTTCTAATGCTCCTTTCTATTTTTAATTTGTCTTTCTAGGTTCATTTTTTTAACAGCTTTTTTCATAGACAGCTGGTAACCAAAGGATATAATGGGGTCAAACGATGGACTAAGAAGGTACCATTGAATTCTGTCTATTACTTGTGATTTTTATAGAATAGGCTGCTGGATGCTGATACTCACTTTTGTTACTTTGCACAAGTTAGCATTTCTCCCCTGCTCACAAAAAAATGTAAGTTTTTACCGCTTGCTACACCTCTTATCATTGCTCAGCCAATGGGAAAGCTGCATTCTGTTCCTCCTTCCACATCATCCACAGAATTTTTTTCTTAAGTTGTCATTTGTATTTTAGCAAAAAAGGGGTTGTAGTTAACAACTTCAGTTTGGGCAGCAAAAACCTTCTTACTGGTGGTGTGAGAGAATTCCATCTTGGTTCTGGAAGTGAAGTGGTTTGTATGGCTGTTAGCCAAAAGAGAAAAGTCTCACTTGGTAAGGGCTTGCAAATATAAAAACGTAGAGATGACAAATAAGAAACGACGTGATTGATTTTGAAGGGTGCTGTGTGTAATAGATCCATATTTTAACACAGATATTAAACAAACAAACAAAAATACAGCTAACCCACCTTCAAATAGGAATTGTTGTGTACTTGGATAAAGGAATGGAAAGGTTATCAAGTGTCTGTTTACCTCCTTACTGATGAAATGTGACTTAACCCCTCTACCCCAAAAATATAAAAGTGGTCTTAAAAGGGACAGTGTTTAGATGATCCAAATGTTTGACTGTATCTTATTAATACTGGACGTCTTAAATTCTAGTTTGCTTTTTCACCACTGTCGGGTGTATTTTAGGAATTTGCAAAAGCTTGGTCAATGAAACTAGACTGGTTGCTTTTTGGCTCCCATGTTTTAGAGCATTATTGATTATGCTCACATCATTGTAAGGGAGTGTTCCGATGGGGACATGAGTGTATTAAAGTAACACTAGGGATTTTTCTAACCATTATTTTCATAAAGTCAAGCCATACACTGTTCCTTCTAAAATAGATTGCTGTTTCCTATTGTACCATTGCACTGAGGGAAAACTTAAATTCCCTTGTAATAAAAGCAGGAGGCTATCACAAAAGACTGCTATGTAAATACTGATACTAGTAGCTCTTAAACTTCAAATACAGATATTAAGGCAAAAGGCCGGACTTTCAAGGAGTGTTAGGCATTTAGCATTGTAAATTGGGTTTTGTGACTATACATTTTTCAGGAGACGTGTCTGTTTTATTAAAAACATTTCAAACCATCGCCTCAAAACTCAGTATTTCAGTTTGGGTTCATTTCTGCTTGGTTGTTTAATGTCCCAATTCTTTAAGTGCTTGTTCATGTGTGTTCCAGTCAGGTGTATGTGCACACACATGCACCGTAGCTGAAAGGTTTTCCCCCCTAACAGCTAGATGTAGAGTCAGCTAGAGTGCCTCCGGAGAGGTGCCAAAATGGTACCCAGTATAGGGCCCTGCTCACCCGCGCCCCCTCCTCTGTTCCTTCTTACTGCCAGTGACAGAAGCTGGAACTTTCCCTTGCTTGTCTCTTGGACATGGGACGGGACCAGCACCAACATGCCATCTCTTGGGGCCAAACGACTTCTCAGCGCCTCTCAGTCTCCAGGCTAGAGGAAGAAGAATGATTGAGGTCTGTCCCCAGTCTTGAGACTCACTGACCAGCCGGCGCCAGTGCCTCAGTTGGGCCCGGATGCTGAGCACCACATGGAGGCCGTGCCAGGGGCTTTTCATGAGGCACAGGACTTAATGTGTCTTATGGTGCCTTTTTGCCACTCTTAGGACTCCACACCAGCCTCACCGGCACCGTTGAGACTTCTGATGCAGTCTAAAAGGAAGCTAGATTGGTGTTGAGGAGCGCAGCCTGGCCTTGGTCTTCGTACTCTGAGTCGGAGTGGGACTCACACAGATTGGGGTAGACCGGGAGCAGGCGATCATCCCAGCACCAAAGGAGGCCTCTTTCTTCTTAATGGCTACCCCAGTGGCTGCCACACTGGCTCTTTTGGACCCCTGGGCTTTCCAGCAGGCTCAGGGCAGAAGCCAGACTTTCTGGTCTGCAGGGGCATCTGTAGTGTCCCTTCGTGCTGCTGTGGTTGGCAGAGCAGTGGTTACAAGCCACGGCACTGGGTACAACACCAGTTCATACCGCATCAGCACCGGAGCAGGTGGCAGCCACAGCAGTTACCAAGCACCTGGAAGCTCAGATGTCATCGGCCCCAACGGCAGCACCAGTGTCGGTTCCAATGCTGGCATCAGTGTTGGACTCTCGAACTGCACCGGCATTAACTCCAACGCCACAGACAGCGGAAACCCGGCACACTGAGGTTCAGGCACCAACTGGGCAGTCTTCATTGATGCCATCCATCTTACCACCACCTGCACGGATCCCAGCCAGTGCCGGCATCCTACAGAGACCCTGCGGGAGGAGATAAGAGGGAGCAGCCCCTCCCTTTTGTTGCATTGTCCTCTTTGTTACATGACACAGCTGTAGCGGGTTCATCTGTGGTTCCAGCCCTCAAGGGTCCTCGGGTCCTGTACTAATTGTTGTGTAGAGTAGAGAGGTACCAGAGTGTAAAATTTTTTTTCTCCCTCCTCCTTGTTTAACACCCTTTTAGAGTACCTCCCTGGTAGCCTTTCAGCAAAATAATAATATAGTGTAGCCTCAGCAGCAGTTTTTGCAACAGAGCCACCAGGACGGCTTTAGGAGGAACCACAGCAGTGGTAGGAGGTATTATTAACCTTTGGGTCAAGCCTTGGGCCACCCTAAAGTACTTTCAGATCCTTAACCAGCCTTTTTGAAGGCATGGCTGTGGACAGCACACCATATCAGCCACCAGATCCACCCCTGCTAATCTTCTCCTGACTGTCCCTTTTCTACCATTATTGATTATGTATCACTACAAACCGTTGGGTACTCGGCAAGGTTGGCAGGATATTCTATCCAGTTTTCTTTCCTTCTGCCATCCCATCCCCCTACCCTGTCCCTCTTCAGGGACCATTTTCACGAGTAAATCCTTATCCAGGAGGAGAATTTGCTCCTACATCTAGGAGCAGTGGAGGAGATCTTTCGGGAACATTGAGACAAAAGGGCTTTACTCCTGGTATTTCCTAATATTGGAACCCATGGGCAGCTCAGATCTATACTGGTATGCTGCCCTAGACTCAAAGGATGCATACGTTCATGTAGCGATCATCCAGTCATGCAGAAAATACCTGAGGTTTGTGGGGAATGGGCTCCACTAACAATTTGCAGTACTCTTACACGGCCTGTCAGCGGCTCCCCGTGTGTTCACCAAAAGCATGGCAGTGGTGGCAGCTTTCCTTTGCAGACATCACATAATGCAAATGTTTCCATACCTAGACAACTAGCTGATCAAGGCCCAGTCCAGTGCTAAACTAATGGCTCAGCTGGCATTCAGGGCCACGTTTGACTTAGGTCTCCTTGGCTATGTCTACACTTGGTTTTTTTTTTTTCGGAAGAGGTTTTGCTGATAAAAAGCCCCGTGTAGATGGGACCATTTGTCAGGAAAAAAAACCTTTTTTGAAAGATCCTGTAAATCTTGATTTTTTTTGAGGAATAAGGGATTTTGCGAGAGAGGGTTTTTTTCCGACAAATGGCCCCGTCTACACGGGGCTTTTTATTGGCAAAACCTCTTCTGCAAAAAGAATCAGAAGAAGATATGCAAATAAGTGCACCATTGCATATGCTCTTCTGGAAAAAAAAATACACTGCAGTGTAGGCATTTCCTTTGTGAATGAAATCTACTGTTCCCAGTTCAGAGAATAGAATTTATAGGGGCTGTCCTCGATTCAACATAAGCCGGAGCATTCCTCCTGTTCTCGAGGTTCAAAATCCTTGCAGATATTATTCAAAGTCTCCAGCTATACCCCTCTTCTATGGTGAGGAATTGTCTCATACTACTAGGCCATGTGTCTGCATGCTCTGCCCACTTCCAGCTTTTCTGCCAAAGGTGGTCTCCAGTTTCCATATGAGTCAAGATATCTTTCTACTGCTGTCTTACCCTAACCTGCATTTTAGTGCCACTCTGTTGATGTGCGTAAAGTTCTGGCTTTCTATATTGACAGGACATTGCCTTTCAGGAAGTCACCACAATTATTTGCGGTAGTTGCAGACAGAATGAAGGGGCAGCTGGTTTCCTCTCAACACATTTCTTCATGGGTAGTTTTCTGCATCTGCGTGTTTTTCTGCATACCTCCACCATCACGTACAGCATACTCGACCAGGGCCCCGGCCTCCTCCACTGTCTTCCTCACCTAGGTCCTTACTCAGGAGATTTGCAGAGCTGCAACATGGTTATCCACACCCACCTCGGCTGTACACTGTGCAATCACACAACAATCTAGAGATGACATAGCCCTTGGACGTGCAGTGCTCCAGTCGGTGAAGGACTCTGACCCTACCTCCTAGACTGAGCTTGGGAATCGCCTCATTGGAATGCACATGAACAAGCACTCAAAGAAAAATCAGTTATGTACCTTCTTGTAACTGTTCTTCCAAATGCGGTGTTCCTGTCCCTTCCAATACCCAACCTCCTTCTTCCCCTCTGTTGGTGTAGCCGGCAAGAAGGAACTGAGGAGGTGGCAGGCTGGCAGGGCCCTTATGTTGGCTGCTGTTTCAGCACCACTCCAGGGGGCGCCCAAGCTGCCCTGCAACTAGCTTCTAGGGGAAGACTCTATTGTGCTCCCGAGTGGAATGGACATGAACGACACATCTCGAACAGTAGTTACGGGGCAGTACTTCACAATTTTTTCCTCTGTCGGCTGTTCTCCCTATCTGGATTACAAGAGGGAAGACTGTTGAAACGTAGGATAGGCAGCCTGGCCTACAGAGAAACATGAAGCTCTGTGGTAGCATTTCCAAACTGAAATACGTTATCGCTATGAGTTGCTGGATACTGAATCTGTCCAAATATTTGTCTTGTTGCCAGCACCAGGTGCCCCAGAGAGGATGGACCGAAGACAATGATCAAGCGATTTGTCTCCTGCCATCCCTCTCCGGCCTCTGACAGACAGAGGCCAAGGACACCATTTTATCCCCTGGCTAATAGCCTTTTATGGACCTAACCTCCATGAATTTATCTAGCTTCTCTTTAAACTCTATTATAGTCCTAGCCTTCACAGCCTCCTCTGGCAAGGAGTTCCACAGGTTGACTACACGCTGTGTGAAGAAGAACTTTCTTTTATTAGTTTTAAACCTGCTACCCATTAATTTCATTTGGTGTCCTCTAGTTCTTCTATTATGGGAACTAATAAATAACTTTTCTTTATCAGCCCTCTCCACACCACTCATGATTTTATAGACCTCTATCATATCCCCCTTCAGTCTCCTTTTTTCTAAACTGAAAAGTCCCAGTCTCTTTAGCCTCTCCTCATATGGGACCCATCATGTGTGTTACTTGCTAATGTTAATATGGGCTCTTCATTTCCTTACTGTAGATGTAATCCACCCCTCTCCCACTTTGTTCTGTAGCATGGAGACTCTGGTTCATACAAATTGCGTAGTGCTTTTAAAAACAGATAGGAATTGCCCTAAATGGAGCAGTCCCATTTAGTCCAGTGTCTTGTTTCTTCTGCATTTCTGGTGATATCTAGCAATATGACATCCTGTTGGGGGGCAAAAGAGAAGATTGAGGGGGACAGTGCAGTTGAAGACCAAAGCCGTTCCAATGCTTTGCATCCAAAAGAATGAAACTTACAAATGGGAATGTTCTAAAGTTTGCCATGGGGTTAAGAGCCTGCCCATTTCCCCATGATTTTTAAGTGCTATTAACCCATCTCCCTTGTTTGCCTGTCTGTGACCGCTAATAGTACATCTGCTGCTGGGTTATATAGCATAATCCAGTAATTGCATGTGCTGTGTTGTTGATACAGGGTGAGTTGTTTGCCACCTGTTCCTAATGTTCTTTTGTATGTAATAGCTTTTCATCTAAACCAAAATCAAGTGCATTGAGATCTGGAAACCTGCTTTGGCTTTCCACTTCTGCTTTTGCTTTGCAGTTCCCATCATTAGGAATTAAACAACCTCAGCATGTTATACCTTCCTGGCGGAACTGTTGTGTCTTCAGCATTAATGTGCTGTCATCTCTTGCCCAAAAATTCATGATTGCTGCTCCACATGCCCTCTGATTCTTCACTTGTGGGCTAGATCCGTTACTGATTTTGTTTGTATTAGTGTGGCACTGCAGAGCTGTAGTCACGTCCCAGGACTCTGGTGTGCCAGGCACTGTATGGTATAATATAGTAGCCTCCTCTTTCATTGACTTTGCAGTTAGGAGTCACGGCCTTTTTTTATTGCTTATTGGACTTTATTACATGCATGTAGCATGTGCTAGGTCCTGTGCAGCCACAGGAAGACAATCTTTGCCTTGGAAAGTATCTCTGCCTCTTCTTTGTCAGAGCTGCAGTTCACTGGGCAAGAACAAAGTGCATAGTACAGAGAATAAGGGTCAGAAAAGTGCCTTGCCTGCTGTTTTTGTGTGGCTGCTTTGAGTCCTGACTGCTTCGCCTGCTGACCCATTTTCACTGCCATCAGTACTGCAGAGTTGGTGCAAATCAGCTGAGTTCTCACTGCAGAAACTTTGCTGCTGAAGATGTATAAATGACCTACCTTGATTGCATGTTGTGTTAGCAGCGTAAGTTAAAATGAGTCCTCATGCCACCCTCCATTCTAACACACAGATTGAGCGTGCTTTGTTGCAGTTGCAGAGGAAGACTAAATATGGAACCCCCACAGCGCTGTCCGTTATTTTATTTTTTTGTACTGCCACAATGTTTTGCATCTAGTAGAAGACAGAAACGTGTGACCTAAGTGCCCATGTGAAGAGCTCTTGCTGGGGGGAGGTGATTAAGGGAACTTTCAGGGTCAGAGGAGGGCTAAGATGTTTAAAACTGGCACGTGGTCTCTTACTCTATTTGGTAATACATAATTTTTTTGTTTGTCAGGTGGACTTGTTCAAAAAGACCCTTTTGTTAATTCCTATTCACCTGGAAGTCCACTGGTCCCTCATTACTGTGAACATCCCTAACCGAATTATTTCATTTTACGATTCCCAAGGCATTCATTTCAAATTTTGTGTAGAGGTAAGAGGAATTATTATAGTTACACTTAACATGTTTGAATCCTTGCTTTAAGAATTAAATGTTCATCCTTTCTGGAGTAAATCTAGGTTTTGGGGGCATCTGGCTTTATGTAATCTGTGTGCATGTACTAAAAATAAAATAAATGCTTGGCACTTACATTGTCTTCATCCAGTTCTGAAAGTGCTTTACAAAGGTGGAGGAAATGTATTACATTCTTTGACGGGGGAAACTGAGGCACGGGCCTCAAGGTTTCAATGACTTCGTACCAGACCTGGGAATAAAGCCAGGTCTTCCCTTGCCATATGCATACAACTAATCTGTCTCTAGCAAACTTTTTTTGTTGTGTTCTCTTCCTCCATAGCCCTACCACAAAAACAAAGGCTTAAAGCCTGATACAGTACAAGAAACCCATTGTTCAAAGAGAAAGGAGAGCCATTTCCACATCTTGTGAGCCAAAGATTGTTTGAGCTTTTTTGGGGAGTGCAGGTACCAGCATTTTTTCTTAAGTGGTCGATTGAAATATGATCACGTATGCTGGTAAAGCATAGGCAAGTTGTTTGGTCCGGACTGACCAATTTTAGTGGCTGTTTTGCAAAGCTAGCCTAACTGCTTGCAAATACAGCAGGTTGCGGCTTTTAAGTGTGTGTAGTTGTCATCTTTTCTCTTCAGGCAGAGTGGCCGTGATTGTACAGAGAGCTCATAGAAAGGAGATCAGAATTAAAACAATTTCCCGTCAGCAGCTTTGAAAGATAAAGCTGACTCCTGAAAACTAGAGTGACCTAGCTGCATCACTCAGGGCTAATAACATCTTAGCTCCTTGTGCTATTGAGTTAGGTCGACCTAATCCCTACTGTAGACACAACTAGGCCCCCATCGGCCAAGCTACCACCTTTTGGAGTGGTAGTTTAATTATATCCGTGAAGAAACCCCTTCCATTGATCTAGGAAGCATCTAGACTACAGTGTCAGCACTGCAGCAACAGCTGTGGCATAGATGTACAGGCAGTCCCCGGGTTACGTACAAGATAGGGACTGTAGGTTTGTTCTTAAGTTGAATCTGTATATAAGTCGGAACTGGCGTCCAGATTCAGCCGCTGCTGAAACTGATCAGTTTCAACAGCAGCTGAATCTGCAGAGCCAAGCCGCGGAGCGCGTGGGCAGCGGATAACCCTGTCCGCTGCCCGCGGG